AAGGCTTTCGTGAGTTTCTGTTGTATTATGTTGCGTCCCCCAAGACTGAAAATTACTTCGAAATATCCAAAACGAAACACACACCCAATCCTAGCCGATATTTGTGCATAGGTTTTTCGGGTTGAACAATGGACCGCCCCCGCAACAAGTAGCCGGCTGAACATGGAATATTGTGCATGTGGTTCCGATGAAGAAATCCTTCTTGCTGGACACCCCGGACAGAGATAAGAACACCGTTCGCAAACAAGGTAACCGTGTACCCTAAAGACAGCAACGCCTAACCCCCCGTCCTAGTTCCAACTGTGTATGTGCTCTAGTGTCATCCCCCCCCCGCGTGGTTTTAGCGTACGGTACCAACCCAAGTTGTTCAGCCTTTTGTGTGGTCGTGTGTCACCTACCCCCCCCAACGTAAGTTAACCAACCTTTTGTTTTTGCTTGTGTATCACCCCCCCCCGTTGGATGGGGAAATTTCGAAGTACGTGGATATACTCCAAGGAGTCGCACAGGGCTGTACGATGTCACCCACTCTTTTTAAGATTTACATCAACGATTTGATAAGGGCGGTTGAAGCAGTAAGACAGGGAGTCCAAGTAGAGGGAAAGAGTGTGTCCGGACTGATGTTTGCAGATGATTTCGTGGGGGTATCCGAAACACCAGAAGGGTTGCAAGAACAAATAGATGCGGCGGTAGGATACACCCGAAAATGGAGACTGTCGGCGAACGTAGGAAAATGCGCAGTAGTGGTCTGTAACGAAAGATAAGAAAAATCCCGTACAATTCAAATGGAAATGGGGGGAGGAAGAACTACCGGTAGTAGACAAGTACACGTACCTGGGAGTAGAGATTTCGAAGGAGTGCTCATGGGACGCACACATAGCGAAGTTGATTGGGAAGAGTAAAGCTCAGATAGGCAAGATGGGCGAGATCCTTACGGACCCACACCTAGACACTAGGATTAAGAGGTGTATTCTCTTGAAGGTGATTGTACCTAAGCTAGAGTATGCAGGAGAGATATGGGAAGGTAACGAAAAGGCCGTCAAGCAGCTGGAAACAGTGCAGATGGCAGCGGCCAAGAAAATGCTAGGATGTTCAAGTACAACGAGCAACACTGTATTGAGAGCAGAATTGGGAATGTACTCTCTTAAAACAAAGAGAGACATGCAGAAGTTGAAGTGGCAGTACAAGGTAAGTAGAATGTCGGACGATAGACTACCAGCCATGGTTGACGAGGCAGCTTGGGGAAAAGCGACTCCAGGGAAGAAGGGAATCAGATGGGACAAGGTGGTAGAGAAGGTTTGGAAGGAGATAGGAGACGAGGAGGAGACGTTGGACACGGAAGGGTTCGGGGGGTTCAAGACGAAAGTCAAGGAGATGCTAGAGAGTAGGGAGGAGGCAACCCTTCGGAAGAAGGTACGAAGCGAAGACCACTTGGAGATATACTGGGAAGTTGAAAGAAGGGATAGGGATGAAGAAGTACTTGGACGGCCCCATGGACTATGCGAAAAAGCTGAAATTGCAATTTCGAGTAGGCGATCTGGACTTGCCAGAACGGAGGAAGAGATATACCAGCCGTAGGAGAGAGGAAGAGGAGGATAGACACACATGTCCATGTGGCAAATCGGAGGAGAGTAGACCCCACATAGTTGGGGAGTGTGAGTTGTACAGGAAGGAAAGAGAGGATCTCGAGGAGGAAATGAGACAGAGAGGGTGTGACATGGACAAGTTTGGTAAATTAGACAACAGCGAAAAAACGATCGCGATAATTGGGGATAGATGGTGGGCACAAGAGGCCCTAGAGGACGGGGATAAGATGTGCAAGAAATTTTTATGGAGTTTGTGGCAGAAACGTAAAGAGCTCCCAAATGTTGGTGGTGTCTCTAGTAGGTGTAGGAACGGTGCTCCGTCTCGAAAGGGACGCGTGGTCAATGGTCAAATGACTACGGCAAGCAACAAATGAGTACCCCCCCCCCCCCCCCCCCCCCCCCCCCCC